TTTCTTCTTTTTTTCGTGGGTTATCACAGACTAACGCTACTCTACACTGTACACATTATCACAGGCTAAAACTGTTCTAATTCAGATGTACTATTGACTGAACTACTGTGCGTGAGTGAATGTAGGCTGGGTATATCAAGTATTCATAACTGGAAGGATTTCCTGAACCAGAACCTGAAATATAAACCTGAAATACTGGTTATGATCGGGAAATAAAAAGTGTACAGTGGCGGTACTTCTGAAGTAAATGGATTACGTGTTAATCTTCTTTTTTTTACGTTTAAATTGTTTGTATGGCGTGTATGTGTGCACGTGTATACGGTGTTCTTACTCCATGTTACACTCTATATTAGGGTATAATTATCACCCTCATTTTAGCGTCTGACAAGATAATAGCTGCATTTGGCTCGCTAAAACTAATTAATTACCTTTACTAGCATCCCGAGAGCTAGTAAGTGAGGACACACAAGGAACTACAAAGCCATGAAGGAAACCAATGACCTTACATGACCTCACGTCCTTCCAGAGGCCTTCCTCGGGACATCAAGGAAGAAAATGGCATCTACAGCTTATAAATTCCCAGATGTAGAGAAGGGGCAAACTCGAGTGTGTGACAGAGGGCCCCCACGAGCTGCGAGGGGCGCCCACTACGACCAAGAACGTTATATTTTATTAATCTCGGGTTCGATTTCGTACGACACCTCTGCTACGAATCCGAGTTTAGTGTCGTAGTAATACGTGACGGTCTGGATGCGTCGGTCGGGAAGCTGCACGACGTACGACCCTCTGGAAGGCTCGTCTATCCGCTCAGCCGAGGCCTTTTCGCGGGGCTCCTCCCGGCTGACGTCGCCCGAAACAAGGTCGTACCGAACCGACCAGTCGTAGTCGTACCTCTCGTAAGGGTTCGCATCGAAATAGTCTTCAAGCGATTCCTGTAAATAGACGAGGAAGTGATTCAATGATGCATCGTCGTATAATGTGCATTGGGTCGTTTTTTAACCAGAAATACGACCTTCAGACACATGTACTGCACTGCGCGACGTCCTACCGACCTGCGAGACGTCGTAGTTGTCACGGTATGGCTCCACGCAGATCAGACTGCCCATCAGACACAGCAGCATGGCCAGCTGTTCGTATAAATGGACACTTAGCAAACACAGTATTAATTGCCTCCTCGCCAATGCATCACCGGAATTATGGCCACGTACGGGCTATGAAACGAGAGTAATTGATACCTACTTACTGTTCTATTCATGGTCGAGCCGAGGAAAGTGACTTGCGGGCCGCGACGTCCGCTTATATACGTGGTCAACGCCGATCCGAGACTCATTGTACAACAGGTTTTCTCGTCGGCAAAAATAGCTGCAGGTTCATGTCATGGCATGAAGTCCAGACGAAGGCGCGCGGGAGGTGTTCTTCCCCGGCATTACCACCTGCGGAACAAATATCATTATTCCCAGTTTACGGCCTTTTGTTCCACGGATTCCCCGACAGGCAAAGCACGCGGGCATTGTCATCGACCTATTCCGTAGCCAGATATGCGCGTGGGTATTGTGCCCCGCCCGTGGTGAGGCTCCTGGCACTGTAGCGAGGTGAGACCGAGCTGCATAATGACTCGGTATAATGGTCAGTCGGTCCGAACATTCACCGGTCAGCTGCTCGGCCTCTCACTCTCTCCGGGTTGTGTAGTAGTGAAAGTGTGATTGCGGTGTAGTGGCGGCGGCGGCTTGTAAGGATGAATGAAAGTTGTCTGCAGCCGGGAGGAGGAAGGGAACCTGGAAATAGAATAAATGAGGAAAATAGATAAATAAGATGGATAAATGGAGTAAAGAAAGTAAATGAGGTAAAAAAAAGTTAATGAAATAAATAATCAGGTAACTGTTTAGTTAATGCTTAATATATGACCAAGATATATATATTAGGAAATAAAATAAATGAGGAAAATAGATAAATAAGATGGATAAATGGAGTAAAAAAAAGTAAATGAGATAAATGATCAGGTAACTGTTTAGTTAATGTTTAATATATGGCCAAGATAGATGTATTAGGAAATAAAATAAATGAGGAAAATAGATAAATAAGATGGATAAATGGAGTAAAAAAAGTTAATGAAATAAATAATCAGGTAACTGTTTAGTTAATGTTTAATATATGACCAAGATAGATGTATTAGGAAATAGAATAAATGAGGAAAATAGATAAATAAGATGGATAAATGGAGTAAAAGAGTAAATGAGGTAAATGATCAGTTAACTTTGTAGTTAATGCTTAATATATGGCTAAGATAGATGTATTAGGAAATAAAAAAGAATTGAGAAAAATAGATAAATAAGATGGATAAATGGAGTAAAAAAAAAAAGTAAATGGATAAATGATCAGTTAACTGTTTAGTAAATGCTTATATAATGATAGATATAAAAATTGGAGTAAAAAAACTGAATTAATAGTATTCATTACGACAAATCAATAAGAGTTTATCTAAGTCTATAGCAGCGGACAC